TAATTGCACAGTTGATGAACAACGTGACCAGAACGGGCCATCCGTCCTCTGTCTGGTGGCTGCGGACAGCTTTGGAAGCAGGGGACTTTGTGGACATCTGGTGCCATTTCCACACTGATGCAAGGCAGTACACTTTGATAAAGGCAACCGCTGGTGGGTAGGGCTGTGCGCAGCTTCAGACGCTAATTCGATTTGGAGGAGATTTGGCCTGATTCAGTGACCGAATCTCTGAATCCAAATCAAATCAGAGGACCAATTTGAAGCTCTCCGAGTCGATTCAGAAAAGATTTGGAGAGCTTTGGTGATTTGGGCAGTCCCCACCCACTGCAGCAGGGAGCTGGACCCAGACTCCATGCTGGTAAGTAGGGAGGAAGGGGGGCTGGAGGGGGGGGACCATGGGGGGACCCTTGCCAGGCCCCATTCCATGCCTGCTCCCTCAGCCCCCTGATCACCCCTCGACCTCTGCCCACCCCCACAATCCCCACATGGCTGTTCTGCCCACCCCAGCTCCAAGCTCTTTAAAAAAAAGCTTCCACTCACCAGCTGCTGTCTGGCCGTGGGGGGGGGGGAATCGCCCCTGCCCTCTCCGGCTGCTCCCCCAGCCCCCGCCCCCATGGCTGCCCTGCCTGCTCCAGGTCTGGCCCTTTAAGGAAAAAAAAAACCCCAAAAAACCCCCCACACTCACCAGCTGCTGCAGTGGTCTCATAGTGGGGACTGGGGTCTCGTGGAAGATCCCCCCCATGCAGCGTGGGGCAGTGGGGGGGTAGTGGGGATTGCCCCCCCAGCTGGGGAGCAGCTGGTGAGTTGGGGCTTTTGTTGTTGTTTTTCTTTTTAAAGGGCCGGGAGCTGGGGAAGGTGGGGCATCCATGGTGGGGACTGGGAGAGCAGGTGGGGGTTGGTGGGTCTCATGACAGAACCCCCCACGTGGTATGGGGCAGTGGGGATTGCGCCTCCCCCCCACCCTTTCAGGCAGCACTCAGTAGGGACTTTTTTTCCCCAAAGAGCCGGGAGCTGGGGTGGGCAGGGCAACCATTGAGAGTGGAGGGGGATGGGGCCTGTGTGATCTGGAGATTCGGCTGATTCGGCAGCAGCCAAATCTCCAAATCAGATTCAGCTAAATCGATCAGGGGTAGTAATTCGAATCGCCAAATTGAATCACTATCCCTCGAATCGGCTGAATCCGAATCCAAAGCAAATACTAGCCACTTTGCACAGGCCTACTGGTGGGATTGCCATGGCATTCCTTGACTGCTTGTATGTTGCCAAGCATTGCCTGCCAGTCCTGCATGGCAGCTGCATTATTCCATCCGGCCTCTCAGATCACAGTCTTATTTGCTACGAGCTGAGTCTCCTTGGCAGACCATGTTCCTGGGCACCCTACTGGTGTTTTAACACCACCTTGCTGCAAGATGCTCACTTTGGTGGATGCTTTGCCTATTTCTGGTGGACATGGGAGACTGTGAGAACCACATTTGCCTCCTGGAAGCAATGGTGAGATGTGGGGGAAGGCACAGATCAGAGCTTTCTGCCAGCAATACATACAGCTGGTAATGAGCGAGCTCCGCTGCCATGTCTGAGGGTTGGAGGAGGATGTAGCAAAGCTTGAGGTGGCCCCATGTGATGCTGGTAGAGACACAGGACTACTTGAGAGCCTTAAGCTTCAGAAGAAGCACCTCCAGGAGCTGGCAGAGGGCGCAGCCCAAGGCACGAGGATTTGTGCTCGCTGCCAAGAGTTGGCAGAGGCTGATGTCCCAACCCAGTTATTTTTCAACCTGGAAAAGAGCTGGGCCTTGCAGAAAATCCTTGACCATCTCAAGACTCTGGATGGCCGGATACTCACAGATCCTGTTGAGATCTGCTGTCACGCTGCAGCCTTCTATCAAGACCTGTATGCGGCTGAACCTCTCTGCCCAGAGTCCACTAAGCCCTTACACTATGGCCTTCCCAAGCTGTGTCCAATAGCGGCTGATGAACTTAAGCAAGAGCTATCCCTGGAGGAACTCATGATTGTTATGGGGAGCCTCATCATGAGCAAAGCCCCAGGGCTCGACGGGCTGCCCGCTGAGTTTTATAAGACCTTCTGGCCCCTCCTTGGCCCCTACCTCTTGCACGTATTTCATGAGAGCCTTATTGATAACATCCTGCCTGTCAGCTGTTGCCAGGTGGCTCTTACCCTGCTACCAAAGACAGGGGACCTTGGCTGCATTAAGAACTGGCAGCTGGTATCCCTTCTGTGTGCCGACTACAAGATTCTGGCCAAAGCCTTAGCCAATTGACTGTGTACTGTCATAGCCTGTCATCAGTCCTGAACAGAGCTACTGCATGCTGGGCAGGAGCATCCAGGACAATCTGTTCCTACTTCGTGACCTGGTGACAGCCGCGGACCTCTTTGGACTGAACGTTGGGCTCGTCTCCTTGGACCAGGAAAATGGCTTTGATAGGGTTAGCCACAGCTACCTTTTTCAGACCCTAGAGGGCTTTGGCTTTGGACCGGTCCTCACCTCCACCCTCTGGGTACTGTACTGAGACATCTCCAATCTTTTGAAAGTGAACAGCGTACTCTGTGCTCCATTCCCAGCTCACAAGGGCATCTACGAAGGCTACCCCCTCTCAGGAATGCTGTACGCTCTGGCCATTGAGCCCCTGCTTCATGTTCTGTGATGGCATCTGACTGGCCTCGTTCTTTTATTGAACTCTGGTTCGGCCAGTGGCCCACCAGTTAGGCTGACAGTGTATGCACATGATGTGACCATTCTCTTCAGCACCCAGGGTGATGTCCAGTTGCTGGTGAACTGTCAGCATGCTTATGAGCGTGCTTCCTCAGCTCGTGTTAATTGGCCTAAGAGGAATACCCTACTCCTTGGTGTGTGGACCAATCACCCCCCCCGCCCCCCCGACCTGCCTAGGGGTCTTGCCTGGCAGCGTGAGGGCCTTAAAGCTCTGGGGGTGTCCCTCAGCCCATCAGTCTTCCCAGCCTGGAATTGGGAAGGCCTCAGTGAGGAGGTGAAGGCGCATGTGCGGTGGTGGCACTGGCGCTTGCCCAACCTCTCCTACCATAGGCAGGTCTTCATTGTGAACAATTTGGCAACTGCAACTTTATGGCACCGGTATGCCATGTTGGATCCCCCGCCGGATTTACTCAAGCAGCTTCACAGACTGCTGGTGGACTTTTTCTGGGGTGGACACCATTGGCTCCCCCAAGCTGTTTTCTATCTGCCTACAGCTGAGGAAGGTCAGGGCTTGGTTGACCTGGCAAGTAGAGTGGCTGTTTTCCACCTGCAGGTTCTCCAGAATCTCTTGTGTTGTGAAGACTGCCCTCCCTGGCAGCAGCTGGCTTGTGTGTTTCTGCACCGGGTAGGGAACCTCGGGTTTGACTGAGAACTCTATCTCCTGGATCCTGCCTTCCTGGACTGGGGCATCCTCCTGCCCTTTTACTGTAGTCTGGTGCAGGCCTGGCGAGCTGCCTTCCACCTCCAACCCCAGGCCAGACATCTGCAATTTCCACAGTTGCTGCAGGAACCACTTGCCTACAACGCGGCCCTGCACCACAGGCTGTCGAGCCTCAGGTCTGATAGCCTCACTGACTCTCTCATCCCATCACTTGTGGTCTGGCTAGGCCAAATTCTTGATATGGCCCGGTTGGACTGACTGTCAGCCGAGGCTCTGGCTCCCCGGTTGGTCATGCATTCGGTTCGCTGTGCCGCCCATCTCTTGAGGGACGTGCAGGCGACCCTGCCAGTGGAGGCAGCGGCTGCCATCGAGGATTACCTCTGAGTGCGGTGGGACATCCCTGCCGGAGATATCTCTGGAGAGCTCTTTCCACCACTGCCCATTGTCCCAGGTGTGGATAACGATCTGGGCGGTGGGCCTGGCAGCTTACTGACTTTTCCTGTGCCTCCTGACAGTGATGCTGGGATTCATCTTGATGTGTTTCCCCAGAAAACCCTGTACACATGGGTGGCTTGTGTCCACCACACTCGCATCCTTGCCACTTGACCTGACATGAAGTGGAGGTGGCACCTAGTGGCACTGGCACTCGCACCAGCTCGCCCTGTGTGACACACACTTTATAAGCTACCCATTGCCAAATGAACTGGCGACCTTCAGTGGTGGCTGCTGCATGCAGGACTGGTCACTGGCACTCTCATCTGCCACATGGGCCCGACTGCATCAGTGGCCTGTCTCTTTTGCCCAGGGGAGGTAGAAAAGGATTTATTCCATTCCTTCCCCAAGTGTCCCCGGCTACTGCTGCTCTTGGCTGCCCTTGGCACCTTGTTTGAGGCGCTAGACTTGGACCTCATAGATACCACCTATTTGTTTTCTTTCCCATGCCAGGCGGCAGAGGCGGGGTGTTATCTGCCTGGCCAACATTTTGCTTGGTCAGGCTAAGATGGCTATCCTCAGTAGCCACAGGAACCAGCTTGCTGGGACTGGCTTTGATGATGCCCTAAGACTCTTTTAAATCTTGGTCCAGGCACACCTGACACTGGAATTTGAACCCGTGGTCCTCCACTGGACAGTACTCACCGTCCAGGCACGTTGGGCCATTCAGGGGGTGCTCTGCAGCGCTGAGGGAATCCGTTTAGTCCTCGTGCTGTGATACTTCTTGCCCCTTCCCAGGGTACTGACAGGGGTCTGAGCGGGCTATTGTTGTACAACTGTTTTTGTTTTTTAGACTGTGAGGGCAGGGCTTGCACACCATAGCCCTAGGCTCTGTCTGTTGTACCTGGACCCCTGCGTGGGCAGTGTTTTATTTTTTTGTTGGATTGTTATTCCCTTTTCCCTTAAGAAACCTTTATAAAAAGTCAAAAGTCTTTCTTTTTTTTCATCAGCAAAAACAATTTTTCTTTGGTTTCAAATGAGGGTAGGCAGATATCCACCAACTCAGTTGCATCTGCAAATTAGACTCTCACTCCCATGCTGTTATTTACATGCAGAAAATCAGCCAAATCTTTACCTTCAAAAGATATGACCATTTCTCCTTTCTTTTTGTTCTGCAGAGACCTGTTAAACCAAGCCAGAGACATGGTGCAGCATATGAAACAGAGTCAGGTATGCTTGCAATACAGAACATTTCAAAGAACCCAATATGGAACACAGGCACTCATGAGAGGCAAAGGGACAAGATTTAGTTGAATTTCAAAATATTTTGAACATGACACACAGGATCAATTAGTAATAGAGACTATTAATTATTCATGGATAATAAACTAATGTTTTGATTGAAAATAATAATCGACTTGTCCTTTCCAAAGTACCCAGTGTTACTTAGGAAGATGTCCTGCCTTGTTACAGTTTTGCCAGGGTATTCTAGGTGCTTGGTTAATAGTGATCTCGGTGCAGTTCCTATTGATTAACAATGTTATGACTTCTATGATCTGTACTGCATGATTGTACCTGGGCTCCTGAGGAATCTTCTTGGAATACAGCAATAATACAGTGTCCCCCACTTCTCCTCAGAGTACTCCTGGATTCCAATTTCAAAATCCCCAGTGATTGCGAAAGATTGATTCTGCTGATGTTGGTGGCTGACATGAAGGAGAACAGAACTGGGCTAAGGCTCAGTGTTTTGAAAATCCTACCTTGAAGCTTCATGCACTTATTTTCTTGTAGACCATACCAACCAATCTTTGCTTAAATGGCAAAAGTGATTATAAAATAGATTCTGTTGCCCACTGCTTTTTGTTAGGAGCTCAAAGGCACTATATTGATGCTGGGCTGGAAAGTGGGGCAGTGATTTTAGTAGGAAACTAGATGAAATTGAACCTCCTGGTCAATGCTTTTAGGTTAGGCTTTGGGATGTGAAGCTAAAGTGAACTAGCCCCAGATGCCCAGGTCCTCAGGTGGAATAACATTTCTATCATCACTGGTGTCCAAATAATTTGAACACAGCTGGTTTGCTGGCTTCAGATTTCTGTTTGCATCATCAACTAGTCCCATGGAGCTAAAATGGGCAGGATGAGGAAAGAAAGTGATGACTGAGGTTCTTGTCCTCTTACTGTGTGCCATCTTCTTCCTCTTGTTCTCTTTCCTGCCAGGTGATAGATTTCCAAAATGACTGGAAGCTAATCACCGTTTTCTTTAGTACTGAAGACCCATGTCTTCCCTGTGCTTCAATCTACCAGGTAAGCTGTCTAAAGTATGGTCTAGCAGTCATAGCAGGCAGCTAAGATCTGGGACTCCTGGGCAGGGGTGGATCCAGGGTGGGTGCACTGGTGCAATTGCACCCGCTTTGATTCTTGGTCCACCTAAAGTTTAAAACCAACTGCCTAGCAGTGGCAGCAGCAGCAGCATTTCTAATCAGGCAGCACTGAAGGAGTCACTTGACTTCATGGCTCATTAAAATCTACCTGATTCCTTCTAAACTATTCATTCTGTAGGTCTCTCTCCTTTTTAATGGTCTTGATGATGTTCTGTTACTCAAGCTATCCTTTCTCCTACAATTCTACTCTTTGTTAGTTGCTTCTGGTAATGTAGCTCCTATTTCACAGCCTTGCAGATTGTTTTCAACTCATTCCAATAAAGTTATATTTGTTTTTGCATCAGTCTGGAACAGGCCTTAGGCCTCTATCATTTTAGGAAACCTTCTAGTTTCTTTTTACCTGGAGAAAAATGTGTGGTGTTTATATGCAATGAGGCACCACAACATCTACGTCCCCTTTTTTCAAAATCATAGATCTGCCCATGCAATGAGAGTGTGAGTCATCCCAATCCAGTCAGGAAACCAAGGCATACAATCTGACTGAAGTGTCCAGTGAAAACAACTTGAATTATGGCTCATTATGATCTTCTAGAGAATGAGCTGCAGAGCAAGAATTATCTGCAGAAGCTATTTGATAACTAATTTCTGATAATGAATGAGAAGACAACCATCTCTTGGCCCATATACTATAGAGATGGAAATTGGATACCTAAAAGACTGTAACCAAAAGTGGCAAATAACTAGATTCAATTAAATAATTATTCATAATGAATATTCTTGTCTACCTCTGATTCCTACCCACTCAAAGAAAGTGGTGGCCATTGAAAGTCCAGCACCATTTTCTTGAGCACTGGGGTTTTTCTTGCTTAGATCTCACATCTGGTCTACAGCTTAGTCTCTGAGAGCTGACTAAATCATTAACTTGGGCAATGTGGTTGAATATAATTGACCTATGCAGTCAGTGTCCCACATCAGGTTCTGATATGCAAACTAGAGTTAGCAAGATGTCTCATGTAACTTAATGTATGTCTGCCCTGTGACTGCAGGAAACTCAGTCTCACTGCTGCAGCAAAAAGACCTTCCCATGTTGACTTATTTTGCATGCATCAAGCAATGAGGACACCCTGGGGATGCTCTAAGATCTCACTGTTGAGCATCAGTAGCATGACTGAGAGGGGCAACTGGGGTCATAGCCCTGGCCTCCACCCTTAGTGGAGGCCACAAAAGCACTTGGTGCTGCATTGGCATATGACTGCATCACTGCAGTCAGCATGCAAGAGTTGGCACTGCCCAATGTGCTGGTGGGTGCCCCCAGTTTGGAGACGCTGACTGCATAGGTCAATTATATTCAACCACATTGCCTAAGTTAATGATTTGGTCAGCTCTCAGAGACTAGGCTGAGTCAGACCAGATGGGAGACCTGCCCTGCCTCTGCTGAGCACACTGGGAAAACAGGACTTGAGCATGGTGGTGGGTGTTGGCTTCCCAGCTATCCTCATCACTTCATTTTTGGGGTTGACCTGTGTAGAGGAGAGTGGGTGGGCAGGGCTTATTGCTTGCACTGTACCACAGTGGTATTGGCTTTCCCTATATGGGCTAAAGATTAGTTTCTGATGAAGAGTGAAAGGTAGTCTGCCTTTGCCTCTCATTCAGGGCCATGCATTATCTTCCTGCTTCTCTTTCTGATGTTTCCAATCTATTTAAATAGACTCGTATGCCACACACATCACCATTATGCCTGAGCACCTTCCATGTAAAACAACACGACCAATGTCAGTCAAGTCTTATTGACTCTCTGCTGTTTTTTCCCCATGTGCACAGTTAATTCATCCAATGGTGTTTGGAGAAATGGGGCAGACTTTTAACTGAGGTCCAGTGACATATTCTCCTGCCACCTGATGCTGCTTTTCCCTCTGCTGAGAGCCACCTTTGCTTTGAACAGCTCTTATCTCTGGTTCATAAAGACCCTTTGAAATAGCAATTTTTCTGTGCCTTTGGTGGGCATCAGATTGCACCAAATTGCCCATATTATTAAAAAAAATGAAATGACAAAACCTGCACCATGGTCTTTCTCCAGGGCTCTAATGAATTCTCTAAAATTACTCTATTCAAAGACTAGAGTAGAGATAACTGCCTATGAATACTTGAGAGGCAATAACACAAAAGGAAAGGAAGGAGCCATCATAGAAGATAGTTAAGGGAACATAATAAGAAATGAGCTGAAAAAAGGTGAAATTTAACCATGAGAGTAATTAGACTCAATGGGTTGGTGTACCAAGAGAAGTCCTGGAAGCTCTTTCACCAGAGGTGGCCAAGAGTAATTTAGATAAAACATTTAAAAAGCTCACATGGGGACAAGAGCTATGCAAGAGTGGGACATTCTGCAGGGTCCTTCCCTGCCTCACCGTCTAAGACGGAGGCATTTCTTTCCTCAAGGAAGGCATCTGTATGATCATCTTCTGTTATTAGTGAAGATGATCTCAGTGGGCACAGGCAGATGTTAGGGCCCTGCTTTAACTCACGGCGCTTTAGAGGGTCCCCCCACTCCCCCAGCCTGCACCAGCCCCTGGATCCAGCTGGCACCATCCCCCACCCCCTGGATCCTGCAGCAGCCCAGGCCAGCATGTGGCGGCACTCCAACAGCCTCCCAGAAGGCTGCTGAACTGCTCTTCTACCAGCCCCGTCCTGCCTTGCCTCCCCTCCTCCCCTCCAGGGCTGTCAGCAGGGGAAGGGGAGCAGGGAGGGGAGGGAGCTTCCAGCTGCTGAATAGCCAGAGTCGGGGGGGCGTGGAATAGGCCCCCTTGTCTTGTACCCTGGCTGAGGTACTGGGGGAGCCAGAGGGGGCCTGTGATATGAAGGAACTGAGTTCCACTCTGCCCTCCCCCCAGCTCTGGCCATTCAGCAGCCCAGAGCAAAATGCTGTCTGCTCCTGGAGGTGGCGGGGGGTGGGGCTTCGCCTTGGGGGCCCGACCTAGCTACCCCCAATACCTCAGGTGGGGTAGCTGGGGGGGCGCATAAGGCTAGGGGGGGCCATCCCCTCACCCTCCACCCCCCCCCGGGTCTCGCCATTCAGCAGCTGGGAGGTCCCTGAAAGCCTGGGGGATGGGGATGGGTACCACTCTGAAGGGAGCACAAGTGTCCTAAAACGTTCTGCTTTTGAGCACCTTAATGTAATACCTGATTTAACCAGGGTTAATTTTTCGTGTGATCAGCTGTTTTAAAAGCACTTTGTAGCTGTGCACATGTGTTATGACAGGTGTGGAGCTCTTCCAGGGGCTAGATTGCTTGAAAAATGTCACTTCTGTCTGCACCCAATAAGACCAAGGATGGTGTAATGTGTTTGTTTCATTTCTAAGTCTCTAGAGTCTATTTCCGTTTGTTTGAGTCTATGCTTTCCCATGTTTAAATTGGCTAATCATAGCCAGATAAATCAAAGTATTGGTTCCTTGATTCCTTTTGCCCCTAAGTGCTGGATCATGCTGAATCCAGAATGTGGCTATCACTGGCAGCATCTAGTATATTGGCTCAATAAGTGGAGCCAATCATGGCAAACATTACTTTCTGTTCTCCTATGGGTTTAATGGAGGCTTGAATTTTCTTTCCAGTTCCAAGAGATGTGCACATGTGCCTTTTCACACCCACTTTCTAAACTATTTTTTATTATTATTTTTTTTAACAGGGGACTCGCTCACTGGACAGTATGGAAAGACTTAAAGGAATTTTGGATTTTTTATATGAAGAAGTAAGAACTATTCATTGACTTTAGGCAGGACCTAATTCCAGCACAAGTTTCATTGTCTTTAATAGGAAGTTGTTCTAAATAACTAGATGCTTTTGCAAATGCAACCCATTGTCCTTAAGTGCTTTATTTGCGTATTTTCAGATTTTATAGATGAAAAGACATTTTAAAATGGTGACATAAGCAAACCAAAACCCCTTTTCATTTTCATCCTAAAACCTTTTGATTTCCTAAGGGCTTTTTATTGACTGAGCTATGGACTATCAACTGATCATTATCTCTGGGAAATGTCCCATTTCCTGGACCTTATTGCTGTATTGCTTAGGTAGAATTTATTGGCATGTATCAATGGTAAAACAGGCCCTTTCTCCTATATTTGTTTATCTTATCTAAGGAATGTCAATAGCATGAATCAAGGACTTTTTTCCTGTAATTACTTGCTGAAATTCCATTATTTTGAATGCACTGGGCCAAATCCTGAATTCTTAACTCATTTTTTTCCCTTCAAATCTTATTCCAAATCTCACCTCTCATCAGTCTCAGTGAGCATTTTGCATGAATAAAGTCTCATTAACTCATTTTGTTTGGAGTTTTCCCATTCCTGCAAGCCTTCCTTTGTTTCTCTACACACACACACACACACACACACACACACACACACACACACACACACACACCCGTATCCCCAATGCAGATGCAGTAGGAAGGCTGCATCCTGATTTAGAAGTAGGAAACATATGAGGCTGGAACTACAACTTACATCACTACATAAATAGCAGACCACCTGTTCAGTTCCAGTTCAAGTCAATAGTCAATGACAGGTATTATTGCATGGTGGCTAGATAGTGATATATGCAAAATGAGTTCAGGGGTCACTGCTCTGGATTCCATGCCATACCTGTCCTTCATGAGCTAACATAACACTGGGTGGCGGTCTCAAAAATAGGGTCATGGATGAAGTTAGCTAGGACTGAGGTGACTGATTCTTTGAGGTGGTCCTTCCAGCTCAAGGATGATGCCCCTGTTCAGTAGATTAACAGAAATCTTCACTTGCCAATATCAGTCAAAAAGTACTATTTAAATCAATGAATAAAAAATGTATAGTATTTGCAATGTGAGTTTTATTTTTTGCCGTTATCACTGTAGCTCCCGAAAGCCTTTGTGAACCTGGTGGATTCCACTGAGCTCATGATCTCCTCTCTTGTACGTGGAACTCACAATAAAACAAGGTAAAAAGATGTTCTTGTAACTGAGAAATGAGCATTAGTCTTCTTCTAGTAGTCCATAGATATATGAATGATAGCCTAACTCTCCATACATTAGGGTTTTATGAGCAGGGAGTTTTAAAAAGTTTTAGCATTTTGTTTCTGATAGAACATCTCTCCCATCAATAGCACATCATAGCTTAAAATACTCTGACTGGAGGCATGGATGGGTTCCTTGCCCCAGTGAACAAGAGGGGGAAACTTCAACTCATTCTCCTTGCAGTTACTCAGAGGCAGGGCATGAGAAGAGTGGCTACTTAGGAAGCAGAGTGGGGGGGAATGGTATTAGCAAGGCTGTGTACTACATGCTGTAGCTCATTGGAGCGGGTTGGAATACTAGCTGTGGGGTTTTCAATTTATAATTTTGCTGTCTAGTTTTTTGCTTTCTAGTTGTCAGCAACATGATGTAGCTCTGTTTTTCCTGCTG